TCTGAGAGGACTTTGAAGTCCTGATCCTCTTGTTTCTACCTCTGAGTGTGTGCCACCACACTCAGCATCATAGAGTTCTTGACAGTCTTTCTAGCAAGTCTATCTTCCCTCAGAGTCAGAATCTACAAAATCTGTACCTTCCCCCAGATTTGAACAGCATTATCAAAAAATGTAACTTTCTGTTTGGAAATAGCTAGAGACTCCCCAAAAGTTGCAAAATAGTATGACCCTTTTGCTTAAATTCCTCCAATGGTAACATCTTACATAACTTTAGTGAAATATCAAAATCAGGAAACTGATGCTGGTCTACAACTATTAATTAGACTACATAGTACACTGGATTTCAGAAAAGCATGATGATTTTGAAGGCACAATATAACACTACCACAAGTACTCTGTATTGATATGGGATGATGAGAATGAGACAGGACTTAATCCTCTCAAAACAGAAGTGCTGTGTGATAGTTTACCTAAAACACCTGCAGGAAGTTTCCGTGCCTTGGTCCCAAGCACAGGGCATTCTTAGTAATGTCAAGGCCCTGCTGGGCATGGTGGTGCATGCCTGCAATCCTAACAACTCAAGAGGCTGAGGAGGAGGATCTTGAGTTCAAAGCTAGTCTGGGCTAGATCTTCAAAATAGAAAACATCCAGGGGTTGAGGGAATAGCTTAGTTGGTAGAGTACTTGTTTGGTGTGCACAGAGTCCTGTGTACAACCCCTAGCACCACATAAACCAGGCATATGGAGGCGCATGGCTGTAATCTCAGTACTTGGGCAGGAAAATCAGGAGTTCGGTATCATCCTTGGGCTTCATAGAGAGTTCAGAGACAGTCTGGGCTATAGGAGACCCCCCTTTTTTTAGGCACCAACTACATAAATAAATACTACTATAAAGAAAGACTGGCATGAGGTTGTGCAGGCCTGTAATCCCAGCACCCAGGAGGCGGAGGCAGGAGGATTGAATGTTTGATGCTAATCTGGGTTACATGAGATCTAGTCTCAAAAAACCCCCAAAATAGCACCAAAACAAAACAAAAAATGTCCACAAGTGCAAAAGCCAGGCATGCAGACTCAGGCATGTCACTCCAGTACTTGGGAAGCTGAGGCGGGAGGATCAGCCTGTGCTATGGTGCATTTCTGCCTGGGCTAAAGAGTAACAACAAATAATAACAAAAACCAAACCAAAGCAAACAAGACCGAAACAAAAACTGCCAAACAAAAAGCCAAAAATCAAGGCTCAAAGGAGAAAGAACATTGATTAGGCAAAGGGAATTGAAACGGTGATTGGACACTCTCTTCCCCTCCTGTCTCTCTCTGTCTCTGCTTCTGTCTGTTGGTCTCTTTCTCTCTGGGGATCGAACCTAGGGTCTCCTGACATGTTAGGAGAGTGCACAGCTTCTTGTGTTGCAGTTTGAGCTGACTTATCCAGAGCCAGACTGTGACCACAGTGGACCCTTCTTATCCCCTAATTGTGAGACATTAAATTCCGCTTGACTGGAGGATGATAGAAAAATAAGGAATTCCTTTTAAAAAATGGATTTCACTTTTTATAGCAGTTTTAGGTTCATGGCAAGTGGATTCTCATTGCTCACCCATTTCTAATTTATATTGGTATCCTGTCCCAAGCCAGTGACTGTGGTTAAAATCCTAAAGTATACAGGGAGTGGTGGCACACGCCTTTAATCCCAGCACTTGGGAGGCAGAGGCAGGAGGATCTCTGTGAGTTCAAGGCCAGCCTGGTCTACATAGTGAGTTCCAGGCAGCTGGAGCTACCGGGAGACCTTGTCTCAAAAAGACCAGGAAAAAAAAAAAAAAAACCCTACAGTGTATGTGCCTACTTTTTGTTTCATTTTGGTTTGGTTTTGGTCTTTTTGAAACAGGGTCTCCCTGTAGCTCCAGCTGGAACTTACTATGTAGACCAGGCTGGCTTTGAACTCACAGAAATCCAGCTGCCTCTGCCTCCCAAGTGCTGGAACTATAGGTGTGCCACCATGCCCACTGTTTTGTTTGTATGTAGCTCGTTTAGGCTTGAACTTGCTGTATAACCTAGGGAGACCTCACACCTGATCTTCCCGGTAGCTACCTCCTTGTATGAGGGGTTGTTAATAGTGTCCCTCGTGCCTGGCTGCATCTGTTTTGACAAATATGATAAACATATTACCCTCTTGCTAATGCTGTGAGTCAGTCCTGCAAATCTCCTATGAGATCTGTGGAGACAGCCTCAAATTTCTATTCCCATTCATGTATGAAGTACAAATATTTTAGTTTTCAAGTCACCCTCCCCATCTTTGGATGATGGGTGGTGACAGAGGATTTGGTTTTGCAAATAGCAAAAACACCAAATAGGTGTTTTACCGTACTCTCCCTCCATGAGATTTTTTTCAAGGAAGTAAATAATGACACTTTGGGTGTAATTAGCAATGTGCGATTGCTCACAGCCTGCCAAGGCTTGCTGCCTTGCTCCCTTTCTCCCTGGGGAGGAGGTGTAGGCACCAGTGTGGTTTAAACGTTCAAGTGGAACTAGCTGGTGCCAGAGTGGGGAAATGGAGTTACTGGTTGCTGGTCCTGACAGCTACATCCCGGCAGCACCAGGAAGGGCTAGGGTGACACTGGCCAGCAAAGGAGAGTGGGGACAAAGGTCATGGAAGAAAATAGCTTCAGCATCCTTTCACTAAGACTGGACCTGGTTCAGTGAATTCCCTGGGGGAAGCACCCCAGCAGGTGTTCGATGGGTTCTCTGTGAATTTGAGGGTATCATTTTAAGTAATTGCCCTGCTGATATCTGCTTTACACAATGAAGGTCTTTCTCTGTTCCTACCAAACAGCTTGCCTGTCCTGGGTGAAATGGTTGAATGGCACTCAGATTCTCCCTATTTAGGTGTCTACTCAGCAGCCTGGGTTGGGGTGAGTTTATAATCTGACCACCTGGGAGGGGACAGCTATCTGCTGTCTGTGTCAAATAGATGACTCCCTTTAAAAATTAGGGCCCGAGACATAGTTCACTTGGTGGAGTTTTGCGTAGCATGCACAAAGCCGGGTTCCATTCTCAGTCAGCACTGAACATGCCAGGCTCATGCTTGCAGTCCCTTCGCTATCCAAGGAGTTCAAGGCCAGCCTGGGTTACATGTGATCAGGTCTCAAAAACAAAACAAAACACCCACAAATGAACCCTAACTGGCTTTCTTTCTTGGTCTTTGACCAGATTCCTTGACCTTTGGCCTGATTCCTTGACCGCTCTAATTTTCAAACTTCCCTTTACTCTTTTCATAAATAAGGGTGGAAGGATATGGCTTGGGGACGAGATCGTTTGATAGTTTCTTTTGACTTTATTGGGGTTTAGGATTGTAACTCAGAATCTAAAGGAAATTATCAATCAGCCCTAGCAATTGACTGGCTATAGGAATGACACCTTAGAATGCTCAGTCCTGGTAGCCCCTTCTAAAAGACAGTCGTCAGTTCCAACTTGGGGACTTGGGAGTCAGTGAAGCCCTGGAGGACCACATCTGAGGTACAGATATTAGCAACACTGGGGAGTTGGGAGGACTGCTAACCTGCAAACCAATCAATCAGGTTTGGGGAATGCAGTTGCAGTTGGGTTGTTCCTAGCTGGTTTTGTATCACAGCAGCTTTACCTCCTTTGAGGACCCTTATGATCTGTGTTTGCAAGCTGGCCTTTCAGAAGACCCAATAAAATGTGTGAATTTGCTCCCATCCTGTTCCCCCACAGCCCACTTTTACCTGGATATCTGGAGGCCCTGGGTGATGAAGGTAAATTCCCTTTGCTTACCTGCTGCCATAGGTGAGGGGGGGGGGAACGGGGGACATGACGACACACGCCTCGACACCTCAGTCTTCGGTCAAGACACTGGCTGCATTGTTGACACCGGGGCAGGGAAAGAACTCTGATTAGCTGTCTCTTGCCCTGAGAACACCTCAAAGATGTGTTAATGATATCAATCCATCCATCCATCCATCCATCCATCCATCCATCCATCCATCCATCAGAATCTCCACATGTGCCATCCCCACCCTTTTCCCACTCAGTGCTCCCAGCAACCTATTCCTAAATTCGCGAGGGTGAAGACTACCTCCGGGCCCTTTGTCTGGCTTATAGGTGTGTGCAAAATTGCAAGTGGGCGGTTAGGGGCATGCCGGTAATCCCAGGCTGAAACAGGAGCGACAGCCAGTTGGACACCAGTCTGGGTTTCATAGCAAAACCGTATCTCAAATAACACGAACAACAACAACAACAACACTGTGGGTGCTGGGGAGCCAAAGTGTGTGTACACCCCTCGCAGGGATGCTTCCCCTCTCTTAGCCTGCCATCCTACAAACTCCAGTGAGGGGTCCCTTCCCCGTGGGGTGGGCAATCGCTGTTTTCCTCGTCCAGTCAGTCCACTCTTATTTCAGGAGGGGAGTGGGACTCTCCCTTGGGTATTCTAGGGTTTACCTCTGGCATTTGGTCTCACTGCAGAAAAACAAGTTCAAATGCAACGCACCGGGTTTCTGAACAGCTGCCTGAGCTCAGAAAGCAGGCGGTCAGCAAAACTGTCTGGGGGTGGGGTGGAAAGGGGAGGAGGGAAGGGCGCAGGAGTGGGGGAGTCAGAGTCAGAGCCCCGGAGGCCCCCCGGAGGCCAGGGGCCAGGTGGACCACTCTGCCTCCAGGTCTCCCGGGCGGGCCAGGCTGCAGGAGAAGGCGGAGGCCCCGGGCGGGGCGGGTTAGGAGCCGAGCAGCTGCGCCCGCCGCCAGGGAGCCGGCGCCCTCCCAGCCGAACATGCAGGACGTGCGCGACGTGTGGCAGCTCTGCGCAGACTTTTCCACTGCGGTGTGGGTTTCGGCGAGCGCCGCCTTCTCGCCTCCAATCACAGCCCGGCTTGGTCGCGACGTGTGCAGCCCGTAGCTAGGCAGGCGGCGGCTCAGGGGTGCGGAGGCTTCACTCGCCAAAGTCTGTTCGTGCCTTGCCTCCGCCGGCGCAGCGGTCCCCGCAAAATGATCCCCACATTGTGACTGAATGAGTGGCTTCCTGCAGTGCAGTACACACCTGTCTTGTGTCGTGAGCTAAGGGAGAGGATCGGGAGAGGAAACGAGGGCAGGTTCACCCCAAAGAAAAAGTGGCCGGGAGTGCAAGGGGAGATGGCATGAATTTAGCAGCCCCCTTGAACGAGGGGTCATCCCGCAGTAGTTCTTGCAGGGCTTTTAGTCAAGCAGTGGAGGTGGGAATAGGGTCTAATTTTATTCACTTGGAGAGATAAAGGGTTTAGGGTCCGTGGCGAATGGGAAAACCAAGATGCCAACTGCTCCTCTCCACCCCCAAGTTCCTTTTCAGCCGCTCGGGGGCTTTCCTGCCCTCTCCAAACGCCCAGCACCACAAGCCTCTCCAGATTCCAGGATGGGGGCTGGGTGAGGGGAGGGGGAGTCGCGCTCAGCCCGGGTTTCCAAGGGATTCGGGAAAGTATGTGTCCGGAGGTGGAAGTAACAGGAAGCCCCCTCCCCGCGAGGCAGGGGGACATGGCGGGTGATGAATCACGGGGATTACCGGGAAGCAACAGTGGCGTGGGTCTTCCCTTGGACCGTGAGGGCCCCAAAGTGTAACTGGGATGCCCAGAGCTGGGGGCGCACTGCTAGAAAGGTCTAATTGGTAGGATGCTTTATCTTAATCAGCATCTCTGGGGATCCGGCCGTGGGCGGCGGGGACCAGACTGAACATCATCAGGTCGCTGCTGCTCCTCTTCCCAGACAGCTTGGGAAAGTGGCTGGCATTATTCGGGGACGCTGTACCAGGTGTCCTTCGCGAAGTATAACAGGACTACAGAGCCAGACGGAGGGAGCTGGGCAGTCTCAGATGACCGAGTCTCTGTGGCAGAACCGGCTGCCCTGGTCCGCCCGCAGGGGGCGGCCGCAGGCTGTGTCTAGCCGTGCCCACCCTCCTTCTCCACGTGAAAGGGGGCTGGGACGCAAAGAATGCGGCCCGCCCCGAGGCTGACGCGCCGCATTGCTGGTCAGATCTTAAAAGGCCGGGCAGTGCGTGTGGCATCCCCGGAGAGCAAGAGAGAGGGCGAGCGGCGGCGCTAGGCGGCCAAGCGCGCCAGTCACGGCGCTCCAGCATCCCCGAACCTCCCCAGCAGAGCCACCCGCCGTGCGCTCAGTCGCCAGCCTGCACACCCTCTCCTCGCTCTGGGATCCCCGCACCGGCTACCCTCCAGCACTTCCCACAAAGCACGTTTCCCAAAGGCGCGCCGGGGAGCGTCCTGCAGCGCGCAGGCGGACGCACCCTTCCTCTCCTTTGTTCCGGGGGGATCTGCAGCTGCTCTTCTCCCCAAGTCGGACTCTCCTCCCGGGGTGGCGGGTCTCCGAGTGCAGCTGCGAAGATGCCTTTGGAACTAACCCAGAGCCGGGTGCAGAAGATCTGGGTGCCCGTCAATCACCGACCCTCGTTGCCCAGATGTGAGTGCAGCTGCGCGGGGCTCCAGGCTGCAGACCGCTGCCGCGTGCAGAGCGGGGCCATTGTGTGTGCAGCGGCTTTGTGCCGGTTCCCCTCTGCGGGAAGCGCACTCGTGCCGACCGGCCGCGCGCGTCTGGGGTGGCGGCGGGCTGCGTCTCCCAGGCTGGGCTGCAGGGGCGCTGTGGCTGCAGAAACCCGGAGTGGGCCGGGCTGGCTGGGCTCACCCGGGCGGAAAGCTGAGCCACCCTGAGGCTGGAGGGTCTCCGGGACGATGGGGGCGCGGCCGCCGGCGCAACGCCCCTTTTCTCTGGGTCTCCTCCGGTTCACTGTCTTCCTCTCTGCACCTTTGTCCATCTCTAGGAGAACCACCCGGAACCTAGCCTTTGCTCCTTGTTTGGGGTGGGTGATTATGGGTTGGGGACTGCTTCTTTAGTGGCATTTCACAAGTGCACACATCCTTCCCCCAACCCCAGGCCCGGAATTTGCGGGTTCGCCTTCGTGACTCACTTTTGCCCTCGGTAAACGATTTGGGAAAGTGTCATTGGAGTCCATCCCTAGCTGGAAAGGGAGGATGGACCGGCTCTAAGGCGATGCTTCCCTTCCAGGCAGCGGGTAGACAGGGGCGAGCTACCTGGTGGGCCTGTTGCGCAGACCAGGTCTGAAGTTTTAGATGTAACCATGGGGTCCAGTAGAAGGGCAGAAGGTGGTTTCCGGTCACCCTGGGACACTTGATCATCAGCCTCTTGGCTGGGCTTCTCCGCGGTCACGTTTCTCAGGATGGTCACCACAGGACGTGACAGCTTACTTGAAGCTTTGCAGGTCTGAGTCACCGGCTGCCCTGCCCTACCCTGCCCCCGGCCTCCCTGTGGTGTAGTATGGGAGATTCACCAGCAGGTTCCCTCTCTCTGGACCTGAGGGTATGGGGCGGGGGTGGGGTGGCTGGTGTTGGGCTTCTCCAGGAGACTGCTGGTTGGTTCTCTCTTTTGGACAAGGTAGTCAGGAGCAACGGCTTGGCAGATCTGCTGCTTGTTTCCAACCCAGACAGACGTGTTTACTAAACTAGGGCTGCCCAAGAAAGAGTGAAGCTTGGCGGCACACACCTATAATCCTGGCGCTCTGTAACCCTGCAACTGAGAAGGCTGAGTTAAATTTGAGGCTAGCCTGGACTACATAGTGAGACCCGGTCAAAACAAACAAAAGAACAGGGAAAGTTGGTCATGGCCACATTTGCACCTTGCCCTTTCTGACTTATGAGCAAGGCAAATATTATCATAGGGCATTTAATAAACTGCAATTGGCCACACAAAATAAGGCTGTACGTGTAAAGCCATGTGATGGCCCGCATACACGATTCCCTCTTGGGGACCGAAAAGACCCCAAGTTCAGTGGCATGGCTTGGTAGTAATATTAAAGGACATCTCAGTGTACCCGTATGTCCTTCCAGGCTTCAGAACCCAGCTATTAGACCTAGAGCTGAGCTTGCCTGTCAGGCAGATGAGATTTACAAGGAAGTGCTGTCATAACCATTCAGAGCTTGAGGGGAGGTGTCTAAGCCTAAAACTGACGGATTAAGATTCAGGGTCCACCCACTCCTGGAATCCTTATGTGTGGCTCTGGGCGGAACCTTGGACACACTGCCTCTTATACAGATATCTGCAGCCAGGGTTATTTATTATTGCACACCCATAATTCAAATGATGTCCTTCCTACACACTAATTTGTTTTTTATTTGGAATGGAGAAAAGAGGACACTTATTTTCTACTCATATTTGGAATATTGCATGAATTTTCTTTCACTAAAAC